AGGGAAAGCCGTAGAAGGAGCAAAGTCGGACCAGCCGCGGAGGAGCTGAAGAAGAGGCGCCAAGGGAGAAAGTTAACCTCACGTCAGCGAACTCCCGTTCTTTGCTTCCGATCAAAAGTGCGTAGCTTCCGATCCTTCAGACAGGGGCAGCGTCGGGCAAGGTCGTGGAAGGAGTCAAACAGCACCGGAGTTGCCAGAGAGGGAGAGAGTGAGAGCGAGTTCGGGAGGGCGATCGGAGCAGAGGGATCGAAGCGTGAGGGCTAGCGGAGGCCAAAGGCCTCGTTCTCTCCTCCTTTTAATGACGCCAAGTCGTGCGAAGATGTGCGAGCTGCCGCGACGTGGGGAGAAACGACAGGTCGTGCGTAGATATGGCGACGTCGTGCGAACGACGTGGCTACGACGTGCGGGAGCAGAGAGCAGGTGAGGGTTTGATATTTATTTTCCATTATTTTATTTTATTTTTGCTGTTTTCACTGAATACAGGTCAACAGTTGTATATTTGATCCAAATGGGAATGCTTGATTCGAAGCCCTCACGTCATCGTATCTTTGATCCGGGTAGGAAGAACAACTGCTAGTGCCGTCCCAACCTCCCTTTGCTGGAAAGAAATGTCGAGATATTACCAAATTTTTTAGAAAATGTTCAATAAATAATAATAATAATAATAATAATAATAATAAACAAGTACATGCTAACTTAAAGAATTGCATTATTGTATCTTTGATCTAAGTAGGAATATTTGATTTGAAGTCCTCGCACCGTTTTATCTTTGATCTGTGCGGGAAGATCATCGGCAAGTGTCGTCCCAACCTCCCTCCATGGGGAGGGGATGCTTGGAGGCTACCGAAATTTTGAACGACAAAGAACCCCCACAATTAATTTCAGATAAAATTTTGTCATTTTAAATGATTTAAAAGAAGAGAGAGATTAAAAAAAATGGCACATTTAAATTAATAATTCAAATTAATGAGATTGAAAAGATACTATATCCTTAAAACTTGTGTATCCTTTCAAGATACAATATTTCTAGGTTTTTGAATAGGACAAGAATGGTAAAATGATGACTCAATATGAGAAAAGGTGAAAGACTGAGAAGCATAATGACTTTGAAAAAAGAAATGGCATTCAACATCAATTTGAGTTTAAGCTAATGCTTCAGGTTCCACATCCATTTAAAAGAATCAAGGCCGTGATAATAAAAATTGATTGATTAAAGGAAGGTAGGTGAATTCCTTCAAAACACGTTACAATAAGCAAGGCAAGACATTATCTTCAATGATCATTATTTTCCTTTTAAATAAGTCTTTCCCATCACAAGAGTCCATTATTTATTGTTTCTTCTAACACCAAGAAGAATATGTAGTCACTTTTATTTATGTTTTGGGAGGTTAAGTGATGCAATCAAAAAATTAGGAAAAACTCCAAATTTTTGCAAGCAAAAAGTAACACTTCCTAGGATAAAGAAAATACACGAAATACTCAAAAATAGACCTTTGATATAAGACACTTACAACTTTTGAAATAAAAGTCCTAAACTTGCTTGCAATCATTGAGAAGAAGGATAAAAAGGCATGGAACTTGCGGAGTGAAGAAAGAGTTTAGAAGCCGAGACGAAGGAGAGGACAAGCTAGCAAGATTTGCTAGAAGGAGAGGAGAAGGGAATACATAGCTCGCAAGCTATCAAACAAAACCCACAGGTTTTTTTCCAAAAAATTATCACCATAACATTCTCTCTTATTCACAAAAACACCTTATATTTATAGGAGAAAAGAGGCAGTCAAACAACCCTTAATTTCTCCAATTAAACCACTTAGAATAGGGGAAATGGAAGGACAAAATTTATTCCATAACGGCACCCGAAAAGGCCACATAGAAAACCGAGAAAAGCAGCCACGGGACAGGCAGCCAGGGGAGGAACTGAAGGGGCAGCACAGGGAATTGGAACCAGCAGCCTGGGAACCGGGACGGATAGCCAGGCAGGGAACCGAAAGGCCACAGAGAATGGGAGAAGGACCAGCCATGGAAAGGAGCCAAGGAGAGGAAAACCGAAGGGGCACAAAGGAGGGAATGAACCTATTTAAACCAAATTATGAGCTGAAAAAGAAGCAGCTCCACACTAATGAGCTGACCTTAGTAGAAGATAGAGAAAATCGGCCCAAAATTTTACTCAAATTATTTTGACCCCCCCTTTGCCTACATCATTAAGGATATATAAGGTTTTTCAATCATGAAGCCTAGGGAAAAAAATGAGGTCAATGAAATAATGAATTGGGCACATCAGATTATTTATTGATTTAATTTAACATATTAAGCAATCCAGGTCTTGTGGACACACCACTTGAAGCTACATAAAATGCAACGAAGAATAGACACTAAGAATACCACACAAATGAGGACAAGGAGGAATGTAAGCAATTAACACTTTCTCATGTGCTCTGATCTTTACGTCAAACTCCTAAATACGAGATCTGAGAATACATTGCAGATAATATAAATGTGTTTTAACACCTCGATGATGGTCGTGTTGAAAGTTTTTCTTAACTGGAGGGGACTCTATCATTTCAAATACCTCCAAATTCTTATGAAATAAAAACATTTTCAAATTACTACGATGTCACCCTGTTGTTTTGACATAGATCAATTGGCGGGAACCCCATACTTTTAAATGCTATCAAAATTCTTATGAAAATACAAATATATTGAGAATGATTGCAAAATCACCCAAATGATGGTTGTGTTTAAAGTGAATATCAAATAGTGGGGTCAATTCTCAAAGCCTATTAAATTTTTAAAATCTAATATCTATCAAATTCTAAATATTTAAATGAAAATTTAATTACAAAAAATTTAAACTAAAATCCATTCACACTTCATAACGGTTTGATGAGGATGGTGAATTGAAGAATAACTTCAACTCACAAAGTGCAGATGTATTGTGGAATTTATTACTACAATTCATTCTTAGTTGATTCATGGCCAGCAGGGAGGTGACAAGTGCTCTCTAACCTAGTGGTTTTGCTGCAAAATGGCACTACTATATTATAGTCGTGGTCAAAGCTTATATATTCCCTAATGGTTAAAAGCCCATTGAGTAATGAATTATAACACTCTAAAATCCATTCACACTTAACAACGGTTTGATGAGGATGATGAATTGAAGAATAACTTCAACTCACAAAGTACAGATGTATTGTGGAATTTATTACTACAATTTATTCTCAGTTGATTCATGGCCAGTAGGGACGTGACACGTGCTCTCTAACCTAGTAGTTTTGCTGCAAAATGACACTACTATATTATAGTCATGGTCAAAGCTTATATGTTCCCTAGTGGTTAAAAGCCCATTGAGTAATGAATTATAACACTCTATAAGATATAAAACCCTCTATTAGCTAAGGTTGACTTAAATTCATTACCTTAGATAAATATTCATCCTAAGTCTACAAGATATTCTTGGACGAAGCAACCCATGATTTTCGACAATATTCCTTCTGTCAGGTTGGGTCAACTATCTCTGACTAAGTAGACCCCAGGGGCCATGAAAGTTCGAGATGGCAGAACTATGAGATCTTGATCAGGCCCGTCATCATTACCCTATCATTTGCTTTAAGTATATGGTGATAAATTTGATATCTTAAATTCTAAAATTCAAAACCAAATTCAAACTCTAAAATTGTTGCTATTATACGTTAGTTAATTATTGCAACCTATGTAACTACTAGTTTTTATCAAAAGTTCTCATTTTCACCTATGGGAAACTAGAACTCATATCATAAAGTCCTCGTAAAATGAGGGCGAAATCTATGAGTAGTGTTTTATATCTAAAAATTAATCTGCCTTTTAAAATTTTATCTTGGAATCTAAATCCGTTAGAACACTTCTCGTCAATAAAAGAGGGTGCGAAGAGGCCATGGTACGAATTTTCAGAGCCCACAATGAGGGAACTTCTTCTTTCTTCTTAGAATGAGAAATGATGTTTGCATTGATAGATCGCAACACATCATTAGGCAAGTGCATTTTATGTTGAAGATCTTTTACTATTTTTTTTCTTCTACATTTCTCTTTTTATATGTGATTTTTTGTTAAACCCATGATTTTGTGACATATTTTAAAGGTGCTAAATTGTATAATATTTAATTTTTGTTTAATATTTTTGTCCACTTTTCAATGCGTTTTGTTCCACCTTTATCAATTCTATGGTAATTTAATTAATTAGGCTAGTATGCGGCTAAAAAAAAAAGGCTAGTATGCGGCTCGCTTTATTTCTTGTTCTTATTTGGCATCATAGCTTGTAATTGTTGTGAGGATATGGAGTACCTAATTTTGAGTCTCAACTTATTATTTGGGTTGGTTGTCATTGCCAATATGGATTTGTGCTTGCATTTCAAGCCAACTCAATCGAAAATCATGGCCAACTGTGGATAAAGCTGAGTCAGGCTAACTTATGGTTTATTCATATTTAATTGGTGAGGGAATGAGAACTTCCCATGCTGCACTTATCGTTTTACTTGGCGTTGCCTTTTGTGTTGATTTAACTTTATATCATGGCAGTTACTGCAATGGTCCACTACCTAAACCATTGTTGTCATCATTATCATTAGCCTTTGTCCAAACCATTCGGGTTAGCTTTATGAATTATGAATCATTATCCATCGATATGGTTTGGTTTTATGAATCCTTCTCCACAGTTCATTTCTGTTTGCAACAATAGGTGTTGGACTTTGATTTGCACAAACTTCGTTTCACAATTTTTTTTTGGTTGCTAATGACGGATTATGATGATGATGATGGTATGAATAATAGTGGCAGATCATTATCCTGATGGTGAGACCAAGCAAAATAATAATGAGTCTCCCTTACGTTTGAGTAGCTATGAAATAGCGATCTTCAGATCTTGAATGAGTCTATTAGATACTTATTTTCTTTTCTTATCTATGTGGAACTCTCTTACGTTATATTGATAGATGGGTAAATAATTCTTGATATATTTTCTGTTGTAGGCTTCAATTATGTCCAAACATTTAACAAAGTCTGAAAAGCCAAGGTGAACAGGAGAACCACTTAATACTGAATTCCTTTCTTTCCTTACTGGTTATTTTGTTTGAGATTTTCCCTTTTGTAGAAGATAGCCAAGTCATGTAAAAGGTGAAATGGACTGCTACATTCAGATCTGCTGAGGTGTGGACAAATTTATCTCATTTTATGTAAACTACATATGTTTATTTTGTTCCTGTTATATTTTCTCTATGTTTATTTTCCGTTAATAATTTCTTGTTCTTTCTATTAGGGGTTTGGCTGCAAGTATTTTAAAATTTGGTTTAATCAAGATGCATCGTAAATTAAATGCATTCCATTAGAAATTTAGTAGATATTTTTCTGTATTTGGTTGGAACAAAGAAACATAAAGTTAAAAATAAAAAAATAACTTGGGTTACGAGATGATAATGAAAGTGGGCTTCACGACAATGGCATATGTGTGGAATGTGGATACTCGAAGTGGAGTCAATGGCTCACAACGTCAATGATCGAAGCATATCGGGCTTGGCGAGCTTTGCTTGAAGAGGTCATGGTCGTGGGTTGTGAGCTGTGACGAGGCATCGGATGGATCACGATGGGAGCTCGCTATGTCATGCATCGACGAAATCTTGAAGGGAGGTCGCGATGGGAGTTTTTGATGGGGTGTCATGAATCAATGAGGTTGCGACATGATGTATTTGGAATTTACCTGATTTGGGCAAGCTTCAAATACTCTCAAAATGAACTACGTGAGGTATTCAAAACTCTTTAAAAAAATAATTTACATTTCTTTTACATTCAACCAAACAACCGAAAATATAAAACCTTTGCATTTTGAACGAACCGCCTCAAATTAGTTGAAACAGATATCCCCTTACTAGAAAGAACTTGATAGTCACGTTAGGGCTGTAATCTATTTTAATCCTATCCACTATTTGTTGACCTATGCAGAGATTTTTAGTAGAAAATTAGGTCATACTAGGTGCTCTAAGAGATTTGACTGTTCATTAGAACTAGTTGCCTAATGGTTAGCTTTCTATGTAAATGAGTATACCTTCGTAAAATGTTGATGGTAAAACCTCTGGATTATGGCAAATTATTAGGTGCGGATACCGGACAGAGAGAATCATTCGGATTTTTCTATCTATAGTAAAAGCGTAGTCAAAGCGCAGCTGCTACTGTAACTGTGCTTTTACTGTAGATAGAAAAAATCCAGATGTTTCTCTCTGTTCGGTCTGGATCATTTCTCTGGGTTGATTTATGTTTCATGTTTACAGCAGTTTAACAACCAGGGACTGTTCTGATATGGATTGCGGCAAGCATTTGACCTTTTTCAGGACCCGGCTTCGTTAGGTCAGCACTTGTGAGGTCGCAGGAAGCACTGAAGCAAGCTTTTATGCAATCCTTCTAAAATAGCTAGGACAAAATCTTATATAGAACATGCAGGCATTCTTGTACTAATGTTGGAAGACCAACTGGAGAGTTGCCTGGAGCTGAATATTTTCTTAGCAAAACCTGAAAGTCTTCTCATTATAGTGGTTAATTGAGCAATTATAATTTTATGGCGTCTGGAAATGCAGCTTTTTCCATTGCGCCTATTTCCTACAGGTTTGAGAATTTATTCCTGCTCTTTATTTGGTGAAAACTGACCCAATCTATATTCAGATTTGGCAGTATTTTGTGTTGCTGAAGCTTTGTATTCAGCAACAAGATTCAGATCTGCTTTATGCAACTTTTTTTTTTGGTATAATACAAAATAAATTTTCTTTTTTTTTCTTTTGTATTAAAGATTTTTTCTTTTTTTTTAAATCATATAGCTTTTTAACAGATTAAAATTTAATTTTTATTAGGAATGGTTATTTTTTATATTATATAACTTTTGAAAAATAATTATAAATTCTAATAAAATAGAATTATGACTATTATTGAAAAACAAAGTTGTGAGAAATTTGTTTTAAATGGATCCTTGCTGTTTCTTTCTTGTAAAAATTCATATTGAACTAAACGCTAATCTCTTGTGATCCCTATTGCTGGTTAGAAAATTTGTGGTGGCAGAGGGATAATGTTTTATATCCTAACTTTGTATGAATATTTTAGTACACAAATAAATAATAAATAAATGAGAGCATGTGAACGCCATAAATTTTATATATATAAAATCTGAACCTTTATTGAAGAGATTATGATATGTATACGTGAATTATAAGGTTTGACCCCTATAGGGAGTGGTGAAATTATAATAGTTTAGAGAAAGGAGGAAATATTAGTACAGTCTCGTTGGATTTCATAAGTCCAACGATGGTGATTAGTTGATAATAGTTTCAATAATGATGATTTAGGTGGTAGCTATTTGATTAAATATTGACGACGATGGGTGGGTAGGTGGCTGTGGAAAGGTCCAGAGGAGTCGACTGAAAGTTTGACGATGGTCGATTAGCTGCAAAACCAATGTCAATGACTAGGTAGATGTACGATGGTCGGTGATTTGGTGGAGGTTTGCTGGCGGTTGGTCGAGCTAAAACACAATTGTAAGAATCGGATTGGTCGATTCAATCGAATCGACCCTCATTAAAAAAGCAGGTGAGCAGAATCATACGGGCGACCTAGAACATTGGCGAACGAGTGACCGAGCACACTGACGAGCTTGCGAGCAATCAAACGAGCAATTGAATGAACCAATATGATCGTGTTTGAAAATAGGGGACTCCTCACAAAGGATAATTCCATTCGCAAAAAAAAAAAAAAAGATTAAAGCAACTTCGCTAAGTGATACGCCACTGAGATTTTCACCAATGAACTTTCTTTCTACTAAATAATCGTATGAGTATTCAGGAGAAAGAAAGTTCGCTTGGGAAAAAACTTGACTTATCAAAGAAAAAAGAACTTTTCAGGTAAATTACGAAACTATTTAAATATAATGTTTGATTATTTTGAAGGAGTTTGAAATTTGAATTGAAAAAGAGAGGTGTTCAAAGTTATATTTAGTGATATTTAATGTTATTTTGGACGGTGAAAGTCTACAAAGGTTCTTGAAGGATGTTAATTGTTGTATTAAGCAAGATTATCTCAAAGATTGAGGATTTGGAAAGTATTTGAACATAAAAATAATCAAAGTGGGTAAATACTATTATTGTATAGTACTTACAATTTTCTGTTATATTATTGCAGTTATTTAGTTGTTGCAATTATTTAATATTGTGACATATATGTAGATTGAATGTAAATGTATAAGATGAATCAAATTAATGTATATATAGATTAATATGTAAGTAATGAAAAATGAAATATAAAAATATAAATGAAAGTATTAAAAGAAGAAAAATAAAAGATGGAAAAATGTGCGTGCATGCAAATATAGGAGTTCACCCTCTCATTGGTACAAAATTTTAGACGGCACTCATGTACTAAATGAAAAGGGAAATAAATGAATGAAATAGAAAAGGAAATAATTTATTTGAAAGACATAATAAGAATTTACAATATATTAATGTTATTTAAATGTTAACTATACAAGAAAGACAAATGAACATAATTTTTTTATGTATGTTTATATGTTATACTACAAGCGTAATCTATTGAGTTTACAATGTAAACTCAAATAGTTAAACTAAAATTTCAGGTAAATATTCTAAGAAATAAATGGCTAAAAGTCAAGAATTTGTCTACATAATAAGTAGATTAAATGAAAATATGTAAGAATTGGTTTATGTATATGTTAAATTTGAAAAAAAAAAAAAAAAATAGTGGCTCTTCCATTATATGTGGAATTTTCGTTTGTTAACCGTTTTATGTTATCGAAAAAAGAGTATTAATTGTTTGACCGTCCGTTCCTGTCTTGTTAATTCGAGCCTCCAGGTTGCGTTGTGATACTAGTGGTGTCCGAGTAGAGGTTCAATGGTGGTCGGTCTAGTGAAGGTTCGATGGCGATGGTCCGGTGGTGATCTAACAATCGATAATCGGGGCAGATGGCTTGCAACGGTCAATTATGTGAAAGTTATGTAGTGGTGGCTGGGCAGAGGTTTGACGATCATTAGCTAATAATAGTTCGGCAGAGACAGTCGGTGGAGGTTTGGCGACGCCGATCGGCTGACGAAGGGTTCTTGATGGTATTATTTTGGGTGGAGCTCTTAGATTTTTCAAGCCTAAGAGTTCTGTTGAACCTCTTGCCAAAATATTACTCTCTTGTAGGAAGAAGATGTCTATTTATAAATTTTTTAGAGTATCATTCCCCGCAAATACAGGAAAAATCGAGAGCAAATTTGAGAGCAGATAGGCATGGACTGCATCCACTTCTTATTATTTTATTGTTTATTATATATTTAAATAATAGCGGGTAAGAACAGTCATACTGAGCTCTCTTCGGTTAACAAACCGCGAAAGAAATCTCGAATAAATTGCTTTCATCGCGATAGGATTTCGTCGGTTCGCCATGGCCGCCCCTTCCGCATCCAGCGCAGCTGATGCCGCCATCGCTGCAACGGCAGTGCAGCAAGGGCAGCGGCAGCTCACCGGCGATGCTTGGCAGATTCCAAGGCTCAGAATGGCTGAATCCGGCCGTGTGGAGTACTTAGAGCGCTTCTGTCAATACGTTGGTAAATTCTTGGTTTATCGATCGATCAAGCTTTGATTTGCCTTTTCCCTGCTTAATCATATTTTCTGCGACTTTTGGACTGTTTTGCTGCGTGCCTTAATTAAAACTTTACGATTTACATGCAAACTGCGAATCCTCCTGTCAAGGCGCCGTCGGTGGTGGTGCTCTTTGCCGCCTTCGCTCCTGCCGGTCGCTTATTTACAGTCATAATTTTGTTTTCGCTTATTTTGGGAGGTTAGGTTGCAGGATTTAAGTAAATCTTGCCGATAAAATTTTTGAGCCAAATAAATCTATCTTTCTTAAAATCTTATTTTCGTCCCATTTTACCTAAATTGTTAGGCAAATCAATGCTTGGATTATTTTTGACATGGAAATCTTTCCTTTAGGGGCTGTTTGGTATCACATAGGATTTGATTTAATTAGGATTTCGTAAATCCTCTAAATCCGGATTTTGTAAATCCGGGGGAGCCTAAATTTTGAAAACTGTTTGGTTGGATTTAGCGAACGGACTCTTCCTCTCGCGCTCATAAAACCTTAAATCCGGCAAAAAAGAGGATTTCGGAAATCCGGGATTTAGCACCAAAAAGGAAAGTTTTTCTTCTATGGTGGCTTTCATTTGCCGTGAGATTTGATTTTGCATTCTAGGATGTTTGGTTAGATTTCGCTTAAATCTGCCTCAAATCTGACCTAAATCCTGCTGCATAAGAGCCCCATAAAATCACTATCATGATCAGCTCCCTAATGCTTTAATGAACTCTGTATATTTTGTATAGAGCTTTTCCTTTTTCCTTTTTTTTCTTGTTCTATAAATCTACCTCTTTCCGGATTTGGAATCAGCATAGAATGAGTTTTGAATAACCAAATATTTAATAAATTGTGGGCTCCAGAAATTCGCGCCCTAGTCTCTCTGCAGACTTTTTTTTTTCTTTCTCGAGAGTTTTGAATAGGATTTAGCATAAATCTTGCCAAACGGGATTTGAGAGTCTTGTTGTGACTTCCGATCTGATGTTGTCGAAGGAAGTGAAGAAGCTTCTTAGCAACTCTTTCCACACACTACTCACCTAAAGCACCTAAGGCTGAAGCATCAACGAAGAAATGACGACGAGGAAACGAGAAATGGAGGAAATGAAACACAAACTCTAGACGTCTCCATCTAAATTAGAAATTAATCGCATAATTTAAATGATTTTAAGTATTAAAAATTAATTAAATTAATTGAATAATCTAATTTAGCTTAACTAAATAATTATTTGTATAATTAGCAATTAAAAGATTAATATAAATTATTTAATTAATATAATTTGAAATAGAAATAAGCGATTAATAAGATAATTTATAATATCGTTAATAGTTAAAACTAATTAAATAATATTTAAAAATCAATGAATTCATTAGTAAGATTATTACTTAAATAATTAGTTATTTCAAAAAATACTTAACAAATTAATTAGATAATTATCAATATAATTAGATATCAAATACTTATGTAATATTAAAGTTTTAGGTGTTAGATATGTAAATAAAATGTTATAAAGTGGTATGTATGTAAATTTCCCTTTTTTCAATTATGAGCTCTCTTTTCAATTTTAAATTGGGGATTTTTCCTTCTCATCTCCCATTCGCAAGAATGCATCTTTTGGGATCGGGATGTGCCCTTCTGGCCACTGGCGTAAGATTCCATTATGCTGATTCTCTGAGCGAGTCCATTACCTTCTACTATGGCGGCGCAATGACCATCGGCATCATACTTGTGATACTGATGGTTCTCTATCAGGTTAGGTTACATTGACGCTTCCAAATGGTATTTTGTTTCTTTCATGGGAATGTTAAGTGCATTTGCGGAACCAATATTGAAAATAAAACAGAGAATGGAGCCAAAAAGAAAACGAATAGAGCAAATCTATTAAACCCTTCATCTTTACCAAAAAGAAAATAACCCATTAAGTTAAAAGTGATGGGCAGAGTTCCAGGGACTTGTAATGGCAGGTTTAGATAAGAATCTGACAAGGGAAGCACACCAAGCTACATTCTTGTCCAATGTAGTTGGCAAATCTGAAAGTTTATAATTCTTCAAGCAGTAATCATGCTTGAAATAGAGTTAAACTTGCTTTCCCCAAGAACAGGAGGTTATATGCAAATATAAGGTGACTATTAGGTTCGCTGTTATGCATAGTAGATTAGAGAATTTTTAAGATAGCATTCCTTGATTAAACTCATAAAAAGGAATAAGGCTAATGTAGGTATCAATTCAGTTGATAAACTGATAAAAATGGAATGGAAACTACGAAAGCCAAGCGGGAGTAATAATGAATCCCAATTAGCACAATCAAAGGCTTTGCAATATAAGATTTTGTCTTGAATTTTATCTTATATATTTTTATTTTTTATAAATTTGTCCCTCCTAAAAACTAAGGCCAGTTCCGGCTATGGTGTTGATGGTTCTTGCTTCCATGTTGTTTCAGCCAGGCAAATTGGTTTTGAAGACATTAGTCTGTCTCCTCAGCTAGGTAAATTAGCCTATGCTTATGTGAGAAAGACGGCGGGATATGAGGAACAAATATTTTCCTTCTTCTCCAACGAGCCAGATCCTGCGGCTTTATGTGTGCAGCTCATGGACGAACTAGACAGATGCATTCTTGGGTATTTTGCTTTTCATTGGAGACATGCAACATTTCTGATTAGTCAGGTCAAAACTGGAAATGATTAGCTATATGCACACTCTTCAGTTTGCTTATTTTCATGATTAATTGCTCTATTTGTGCTATCCTTTTTGCTAGATTCTTGATGCTGACACCAAGCCTGTTGGAAAACTAAAGAACATGATTTTGGAGGCTACTAGGTGGGTACTTCTATCTTCACTTTGCCTTAATGAATAGAAATAGGAACATGCTATAGAAATATATAGAATTGCATACAACATAAATGTTTTTATTAATAAGGCATCATAAATTTCCTTGCAAGTTATTTTAACCAAAGTTTTCATGGTGGCTTGGGTTGGTGTGTCATGTTCTTATCCTTGGATGAGAGAGAAGTCCATTTATGGTGTTTGAATTGTATCTTATGTAGACTTTGATTTTGCTAAAAAGCGCTTTCTCCTCTTGGTGGACGCAGAAAGCAGAGATTTGAAAATGTAACAAGGAACTTGAAGATGACAAGGTTGTTCTCCACGTTGGTGGATGAGATGAAAGCCATCAGAATTGGACCTCAAGAGAATGTTGACCACATGGAAGTGATGATTCCAGCGGCCCACTGTGATAGGAGCCCTGTTCTCCTTTTGATGGGTGGAGGGATGGGTGCGGGAAAAAGCACTGTACTTCAACACAAATTACTTAACGAAGCATTTTGGTCAAAAGCGGCAGCAAATGCAGTAATAGTAGAAGCGGATGCATTCAAAGAGACTGATGTAATCTATCGTGCCATCAGCTCTCGTGGTCATCATCATGACATTGTTCAGACAGCTGAGTTGGTAAGACCAATACATCCTTTACACCCTTTTGCTTCTCGTCTTATTATATATATATGTTTTTATTTCGTTGTGGTATCTGATAGGAAATACTTGAGTTCGCAAGTAACCCTAATGGGATACTTGAGTTCGCAAGCAACCCTAACAATAATTGATGAAAACAGCGAGAAAACTTCGAGATTTCCAATGAAAACGATCCAAAAAAACTAGATTGTATTATAGGAATCAAACCAAAAGCAAGAACAAGTAAAGATACAATTGATCCTCAATTCGAGAGGAGGATTGTTCTCTCCCAATCTCTAGATGATGAATCTAGAGCTCAAAACCTCAAAGAGAACTCCAAGAGAAACAATAATCATGCATAACTCTAACTCTAGACAACTCCTCCTATTTAATACAAAAACTTCCCTAATTTCAAATCATGAATTCAAATTTTCCCTCCCTCTCCTAGCCGCACCTTATTTCTTTCCCTATTGACATGCCTAGTGGGCCCCTAGGTTTGGGCGGCAGATTTCCCCCCTAAGGGGTCCATCTCCTGTGGCAGAGAACCAGCCCTTACAGGGCCGGTTGGTGTTAGACTGGTTCAGCCTTAACCGGCCTAACAGTATCCTTCTTTCAATATACATTTGTGCATACTCTGCTTAAAGATTTTCTGACTATTGTGTTCCTTGTTGCTAGACCTTTTTTTGCCCAAACTTCTTAAGCCAATATTTATATCTTGTTATAAATAGTTATTTATAAATATCTAGTTCTTTGTTTTGTAAAGTCGACAATAATGTTTTGCAACTCTTACAATTTAAGAGGAAATATTTTGTTTTCTTAGCCAAATTAGATTATAATGTCCTAATTCAAGTTCTCTTACGATAGGGTCCCTCACCTCAAACATTACAAGAGGCTGCAAGTTGTCAAGCATAGTATTATTAAGAATAAATATTACATAGTAAAAGTTTTTTTTTTTTTTCTTTTTCAAAAGTAGAACAAACGAAACACTGAGTTGCTTCACATATGTAGGTGCATCAATCTTCTATGAATGCAGCATCGTCCTTGCTGGTAACAGCACTAAATGAAGGAAGAGATGTCATAATGGATGGGACTCTCTCATGGGAGCCATTTGTGGAACAAACAATTGCCATGGTGAGGGATGTCCATCTCCGGCGCTACAGGATGGGGCCCGGCTATCACGTAGCAGAGGACGGCACGGCCATTGAAAACTACTGGGAGCCAGTAGAAGATGATGATGACAATGTTGTGGAAGAGGATGGATTCCGGAGGCCTTACAGGATAGAGCTTGTTGGAGTTATCTGTGATGCATACCTTGCAGTTGTCAGAGGCATAAGGTATCATATATGATTTATTATTTCCATATCCCAACCTAATCATAGATTAGTATCTGTGTGTATTTTTCTATTTGCTAATCCTATTTTGAAAATCTGTGAAGTTTATGTGTTTATTAATGTTTTTGAAGTTGGCCCTCCAATTTCCTCTTGACTACATACATAATGATTCAAATCTAAAATCATAGCCTATCTATTAAGTAAGTTAATATGGTCTCGACAATTTATATGTATTAGACCTTGCTGGCATTCTGAACACTTATTCTTTAAAGATTTCACCTATCAATAATTTTTGTTGTTATTAGATATATATAATAAAATATATGTATTCTTTTTAATAAACTTAATCAGAATAAAAAAATGAGATGAATCAATTTCTTGATGTTCGTGCACCTCGTTTTGTGTGTTGTCGACTCGAAATTCAAGCAAATTTTTAATTTTCACTCGTGCAATAATCCTGATGATATTATTATCTATACTAAATATTTTCGACGTTTTGAATGCAAAGACGAAGTCCGTTTTGCAAACGAGCGTTGTTCTGGCAATGTTGCATAACGTCGTGTCTGTAGACTGTCAATTTCGATCATCTTTGCTCAAATCGATCTCGAGAGATTATTTCTTGGATAATTTTAATGTTTTTTTAGCACAATGGCGAAGTCTGTTTCGCGATTGAACGTTGTTTGAGCAGTTTTGTGCACCATCAACTTGAAGCTCGTGCAAATTTTGCCTTTTTACACTGTGTGGTGACCTGCCGGATATTAACAATTTATGAGATTTACATCATTATCATTTCTCATCTCCTTAAAAAAAATGTTCTGCGTACTTTATTTAACACTACTGAATTTCCATACTAACAAATAGCATATTTTTGTTAGAAAAATGTATCTGAAGTCCTTAACTACAAGCTAACTTTCCTGATCTAATTCATGTCAGGAGAGCTATCCTGATGGGCAGAGCAGTGCGAGTGAAGCCTCAGCTCAGATCCCACAAGAGGTTCGCCGCTGCTTTCCCTAAATATTGCAAGCTCGTGGACAACGCCAGGCTTTACTGCACAAACACCATAGCCTCACCCAAGGTACCTATCAACAAGCTTCTTTTTCTCCTTAAAATATGATGATCCAAATCATTAGATGGGGAGTTGAAAGTAGAGAATTAAGAATGGGGAGTTAATTTGGTGCAGCTAATTGGTTGGAAGGACGGTGACAGCACATTACTGGTGGATCCAATTGAAATAATGTGGTTGGATAAGGTGAGCGAACTGAACGAAGATGCTGATAATGTTAAAGAGATCTACCAATGCCCTCCTGCTTCTCCTGCTACTGTGTTAAGTACTCCTGTAGCTAATCCAAAGCCTATTTCCTTATGGGAAGATGCTGTGCTGTGTTCCTCAAGGCTCACCACCCAGCAACATCTCATGGCTTTGCTCCAATCAATGGAAACCACCCAGGTCTTTTGATCAGGTCTCACTCTCTCTCTCTCTCTCTCTCTCTCTCTCTAGGGTTTGTTTGAAGAACAAGTGAATCTCTTAAAATGCTTCTACAGAAGGATCTCAAGTCTAGAATAACTCATCAGGCTTGAGAAATGTTCCTTAAGAAACTGATGCCCTTAATCGGTTTGAAGAAAGTTAAGTTAAAGGGGATGCTTTTTCTACTTTTAAGGAATTATGATGTCTCATTTTGGAATTGGAGGAAACTCTAAGCTATAACCTTCAATGAATTTCGTGTGTTGTTAATGTCTTAAGGCATGATTACCATTTGATGATGTCTACTTAATATTGTAGACTGACATATCAATGTGTGACTTTGGAGTCAAAATTTTAAATTATTTAAATCTCAAGATAGTTTCCTGACTATTCAAATGTGATCATTTAAATTCTAGAGGATAATGTTGCTTCTATTTAGTATCTTGACTATATAAAATTGATCCAAAATAATCTCTTTGAGACTAAGGCCTCGTTTGAGGCATTTTTTTACTACTTTCTAAAGTGACTTTTTCATACAAAAATGTCTTAAACTAAAAATTTTATACTAAAAAGTTGTTTTAGAAAGAAGTAAGAAAGTCGTCTCAAATGAAGTCTAAATTGGGATCATTTTTGTAAAGTTGAGGGAGTAAATTGAGGTCAATTTTATATCACAATTATAACATGAATGATTTTGTATCAATTTTGTATAGTCGATGAATTAAATTATGAAAACATGATACTTTGGAACTAAATTAGCCATACACCAAAAATTTGAGGACTATTTTCAGATTTTTTTTTTTTTTTAATTTTTTTAAAAGAAATATGGCAGAAAGAATTGTCTCAATTTTAGAAGGGTGAAAAATCTTAAATTATATATATTAATCAAGAGTTCTTATTAGTTTCACCATATGAACTTTTCATGAACATGCAGCACCACCATCAATCATGCAAATTATGAATATAAATTTCATGATTTTCATAACCATAAGATCTAAAATAAAAAACATTACAGAATTAAATTACCAATCACAGTTACAGTTCATTCCATTACACACAAATTAGAAAAGATTAGTAAATTCACCCTCATTATTTCTTAAATGGAGGATATTTTATACAATATGAATAGATTCAAAGCTGGACTTCAGTTAGGTTTAAAGAACTTGAGCTTGAGCCCACTGTTTATCATACTCCAAACACCACCAGCAGAAAAAGCTAGACTAAAAGCTATTCCAAGTATCCCAAGACTCCAATTCAAATACCAATTGAAACTGAACCTCTGAGGTTTCTTTATAAGAACCCACATGAAGCATGGATAGGCAAATGTTACTGGAAGAGTTAGACCACCAAGAAGACCAGCAATACTAGAAAGAAATGGGAATGCAACACCAATGAAGAATGAGATGAACCCGTAAAATATGCGAAAGCCGGATCGTACCCAGATCGAACAAGGACGGTTTGTTCGGCTTGTATATCCTGCTTCAAAGCTGTCAAATACAGGCATGGAATATATCTGGAAACTGCTGAGACAATTAAACACAACTAAGAGAAATGTAGTTGCAAGAAGACCCCTTGGAATATCATGGTTGTGAAAAGCATATAGTGCACTCAGCATCCCTCCAGCAGGCATCTGTAAGGAAAAAAAAGGGAGCTTTTAGAACCATATTTACATGCCAAATAAAAGATAAACTAAACCAGATCTAGTACAACAGTAGATATACTGATGTTACCAAGGCCTTTTTAGCTAAAATCAGATTTAACTCAAGCCTTTTAAATCTAGAAATAGTAAATATTGAGAGGCTTAAAATCTGAGAATTATTTGACAGTTCTGAACTTTATGAGAAGGGGAATTCTTAAATCCGTTAAATCTTGTGAATGATGAGATTTAACTTATTCAAAATTTAGTTAATAATGAAGATGAAATGGGATTTATTAAAGGTAATAGAATCTACAACAACAACATCATGCCTTTTATCCCACTATGTGGGTCAGCTACATGAATTCTTTTTCTCCATTTTGTCCAATTAAGGGGCAAATTCTCGTCTAAATCTAATAAAAAAAAGGTCATTTCTAATATTTTCCAGCAAATTCCTTTTAGGTCTACCTCTACCTTTCTTAACATAAGTCAAATCTAATACCTCTTAAGATAATAGAATCTAAAATCTCTAAAATTCTATTTGGTGGGATTTAAGCTAAATATTCCTTAATTTTTTCCTAAAATTGAATATTAAACAGCCCCTGAATCCTATTATCATAGCAGTTGTGAATTAATTAACAGTAAAACTTACAAGGTTCCCATATGCCCAGAAACCTCCAATGGCAACAGGGAACAGACACATGGCAATGAGAAGATAAGCAACTTTGGCTCCTCTCCACATGGGTACATGAGCTGGGTGCTTGAATGTTGACGGCATGGTTGCCTGCACTACAGAATTGATTGTCATTAAATTTCCAAAATTTATTAGTTCTCATCGTTATAGGAATAAAAACTGAATTCCTCACCTGAATTTCTAAAGCAAGATTATGGCCTCTGAAGGCAAACGCAATGATGCCAAATGAATTCAATATGGAGAAAGTTGATGCAGTGAAAGTATTCGATCTAAGGGGTTCATAAGATATGGAAGCAGGTCTTGCTTGGCTTACAGAAAGGACCCATGCCATTGTCGTATAAGTTAAAGCTGTTATTGCGCCGATAAGAGAGAGCCCGGCAATGGAGTTCAAGTTTGGAAGCTGGGAGAGAACAATGCATAAGGAAGTAAAGACCAGGTACCACTCAACAGTTGTTAATGGATTCGAGGTGCAGAGTGCTCCACAGACAATCTGGAAAAATAGTTTCATGGTTTCACCACCAACAAGAATCAATGCAGTAGCAGTTCCTGCTGATAGATAAACGGTAGGGAACAGAGCAAGCCACACGCCTAGTTTTTCACCTGAAGCAAATAAAAAGTATAATGATAATCAATTAAGGCTTCGTTTGGGACTGCTTTCTTACTGCATCTTAAAGCAACTTTCTAGTAGAAAAAAAATATTTTTTGTACTAAAAAGCTGCTTTAAGAAGTATAAAGAAAGCTGTTCCAAACAAAGCCTAAGTGTGTCAACAGATGTGGAAGATTAAACTTCACCATGGTTTCATGTGTAAAATAGTGTAAATTTTGTTCCAGATACTTGAAACAATTCAATCATACTTGCCTGCTTCACATCATGAACCATAAGCATCTCAGCATGATTATAATTTTAATCCATTTTTAGAAAGCAATGGAACTGAAACTTTGTCAAGTAATCTTAAAAGGTATGGCTCTTAGAAATCAAAACATGCTTTTAATGAACCAATGTGGTAAGGGGAGATTGGAAGTTCCTAGATGCTTAAATATGACTTGAAAAACTCAAGGAAGGTCAATCCAAGAGTTTTCAAATCTTACAATTTCAACTCACTTGCTCAAATCTGAGAGTTTCAAAACTTTTTAATAATGTTTTGAAGACTAAAAAGATGTCAGATCAGTGGAGAATGAGTGTATTAATTCCTTTTTCAAAAAATAAAGGTGATGCACAAGAGTGTGTGAATTATAGATGAATTAAATTACTGTATCATGCTTTAACTACGTAAGCATAAAGTGTAAATCCATTCAATACAAGCAAGATATTCTTTGCATTCAAAGATGAGCAAAGTGGATTTTGCAAGAGTGCTATATCTAGAAAATCCAAAAACAACAAAAAATATCACAACAGTTGAAAGTATTGATGTAAAGGAAATTTATTACTACAAAGAGCTCAACATGTATCATGAAAATGAAAATAGATCAGTAATGCTTTGATAAATTTACATACTCTTTCTCCATAGCTGCAGGTAAGATGCTTCATCTTAAAAAAAAAAATTCAATGTATATAATTTCAATCATAGAAATAGTTGAAGTGCTGTTACCAAAAGCAGCCTGCGCAAGCTCCACATATCTATTGTATCTCCTGCCTGGGACAGCTTCATGAAGATTAACAAGTATCCAGAGGGTGTATAGTTGCCATAGGTAGGCTATCATCAGAGATATTATCCCCCAACTCCTGTAATAGTTTAATGGAGTCAATAGAAAATTGTATCTTATGTAGCTCATCTTGATCCGTCGGTAAGGAACTTTGACTATCAATCAAGAGGTCTTAGATTTGAGTATTATGTATGCGATGTGTGTGTGAGTTTATCTTAATCGGCCTAAATGCTCCCCACCCAAAAAAAAAAAACTTGGTCCGTTGGTTGGGAGCTTTGACTAAGGATCGAATCTTTTGTATGCAATGTGTATGTAAATTTAACTTAATTGGCCTAAATATCCCCAAATAAATTGTATCTTTAATCCTCGTTTTTAGGGCAAATATCACCAAAATCTTATTTGATTTTCTTGAGAACTTATTTTTAGAATTTTCTCATAAAAGTTTCTCAGTTGTTTTAAGAAACTATATTGTGTACACTTTTACTTAGAAAAAAAATCCATTAGTGCCATCTAAGGACACATCCGTTGCAGAAACCCCCCATTTTCAACCACTAAATGCTTATCCTTAGTATTTCTCAAGATTGCCAGAGAGAGAGAGAGGGATTTAAAAGTCTCATTGTTGCAGTCTTTTCAAAGGGAAGAGAAGGACAATCAAGCTCTATCAAGTCAACTTCATGTCACAAGAATTGAAAGCGATGTAACTACAGACAAATCCGGCCACCACATTAATCACGGAAACAGTAATTTCGAATTGAGCTAAAAATAGAAGCGATTGAAGAATACCAAAAAAAGCAAAACCAGTCGAGGAAGATCAGGCGAAGAGAACAATACCAGCCAAGGAAGGCGAAGGCGACGGGGAGAATAAGGGCCTGGAAGCCAATGCCGGCGTTGAGGTTATGGAACGCGGCGTAATGAGCATTGCCATTGCGCGATTCGGTAATGGGAAGCCAAGCGTCCTGCGGATTGAGCCGCGTTAGATGACCTACCTCTTCCAAGTACCCTCGAAGACTCACCACCACTTTCTTCATCGGCGTCCCCATTGATCCACTTGGACTAAGCAGCCTCGGCGTCGCCATTGCCGACGTCACCCCTGTCGGCGTCCAAGACGCCTTCACCCTCGCCGATGTCCTCACCGTACCCCTCGGCGTCACCGACGTCTCCGGCGTCGATAATCCCTTCGGCGTCGCCGGGATCGACACCAACTCCGCCTCCATTGCCCTCTCCTCCATCTCGCTCTCTCTGCTGTCTGTCTGTCTGTCTGTCTCACTGGCACTCATTCAACCACTACTCGTCCTTTTCAATGAGTCATTGGGCTCGGAACCTGAGATCTGTCTGGATCTCCCTCTTATTGGTGTTTGCTGAGTGTGGGAGTTTGGGCTCTTCTCGGTGTCGAGCCCATGGAGGTACTGTGCGGCCATTAATTATGGATGGTTGCTAGGTTTTGCTTTTCCCTCGAGACTGTGTCAGGCGTGCAGGGGGCAAGTGAGAAAGCAGAGAAGGGAAGGGGAAAAGAGTCATGAGAAAGAGACGGTGCAGATTTTGACCGTTTATTCTCTCCATTTAAATAATATACTTCTATATCAATAAATTTTGAAAAGAATCCAATAGGCAAATTTTTAAAATTACTAAATTAATTTTCTTAAAATTTGACTTATGACTAATTAATCTAAAATTAAATACATATATTTGATAATTTATATTTTAACAATATTTAGAAACATAATGATTGATCTTTCAATATTTCTTGTGAGTTGAGAGCATGAATTCTATCTACAAAAAGCCAAAAACTGAAAATTTTTTAATTTAATTGATGAGAAATTATAAGGGGGTATTTGCATACATACCATTTTATTTCATATTATTTACAAATCTAATACCTAAAATTTTTAATATTATATTTCACACAAAATTAAATTTTTAATATAACAAGATACACTAAGAACACAAACTTTTTTACGGCTTAATTTTTGTATCAAAAATTAAAAAATTACTTAAGAAGTAAAAAAATCATCTAAATGAAGCCTAATCTAACAAATTGGACAGATGAAAGCACCATTAAACCATGATGTTGTTTAATTAACTAAAAGCTAGGTTTTAATCATGCTCCCAATGTCTGCATCATTCAGCTACCACATTTTATTATCACATTCTTCTAAAAGATATATAATTGGAGAGATTTATATAGAATTTCGCAAAAAATTATTTTAATAAATATCTAATTTTTTTGATCATTATTATTATATAATTACAATTCGAAAAAATCTCTAAATAAAACAAAAAAAACATTCTAAATCATCCTTTTAATAGAAATCTTATATTTTCATCATTAAATTTAAGTTAAATGTTAAATAACATATAATATATAATTTATATTTTTAATATATAGATAATAGATAATTTTTTTCATCAGACAAACAATGTTAAGCTAACTTCACCTTTTATATGCTATGTTCATTAATTTAGCTGACTCTAAAATATTATTACTAATGATTGTATGTTTTCAAATTTATATTTACCACAGATATTTAAATAGCATTTATGATTGTACTAATCATGAAAGATAATAATCAGTGAGATCAGTCTAGAAAAGTCCTGCAAACATGGAATGGAATTAAGAAAAAGTAGAGGGATAAACAAAAAATAAAAAGAAGATAAGGAAAGATTGAAGAAAATAAGACGTGAAGCAGAAGCTGGGAGCAAAAAAGAACAAGAGCTGGCATCAAGCTCTTGTTTTGGGGAAACCAGTGCAGGTGAAGAAAACTGGGCCAAATTTAGCTTCAATTTTATGCAGCAGCAATATGTTGAGGCTACCGTCTTGAAGTTCTTGATTTCGGCCTGGCTGATTTCTGCAAGTTCATGAAGATTCATATAGGAAATCAGAAGCAAAAATAAATAATAATAATAATAATAAAATAGTGGATTTCATCTGAGCATGAATAAGTTGCTAAGTCGGCATGCCAAATAGATGCACCTCACGCAGGAGTTCAGATAATACCCTTCCACAGAGAAAACCAATAGCAAATTCATGCTTTGTTTTGTTTGGGACAGCTTTCTTAGTGCTTTTTAAAGCAGTTTTTTGGTACAAAATTTTAATTTTTTCTAAAAAAGCTGCTTTAAGAAGCGGTAAGAAAGCCGTCCCGAACGAAGCCTCGGTCGCAAACAGATGTGTTGAGTGATTTAGAGAGTTTGAAACACTCAAACCTCTAAATATGTTTCTCATATTGTTTCCTCTATTTACATCAGTGAGTGGAATTCAGTAAGTGTTATTCAGCGAGGCTACGTGCCACTTAGAAAGAAGAAATTGAAATCTTCCTCAGACAAGGTTGTATATGACTGTTCAGACTCTAAACATTCAGGAACTGCAAGCAGAAATGTATCAATTTACAATGCATGAGAGCTGGATTTCATGATCTGAGACTATCTTAAGCTATTTAATCCAATCACATATAGCTGGGACCGGAGAAATTATGCCGCCCCATGATATTTGGACTTCTAGATGACTATTTCAATATAGTGAGACCCACCTCATGTTGGGGAAAATGAAGCATGAGTGATCAGTAATATGATTAAGAATGATAAATAATAAAGTGTTGATCCACGTACTAGTTCCACTAATGATGCAAGCAAAAATAATTAAAATTGATGATGGAAATAACATCCGGTGGACACGAAGCTTCACTAAATTGCTCAAACAACTTCCGATCATCAAACAAACTGCATCGATGCAATTATAGCATCCAATTTACAAAAGAGGAACCTCTCGCATTCGAATCGAGCAAAGGTGATCGAAATCGACGGTCTACATGCAATGTTGCGCAACATTGCCCAAACAATATATGTTCTTGAAATGAAATTCACCATTATGTCTGAAATGTTATAATTATATAGAAATGGCTGTAATATTGCTTGGGACTTTGCGCGAGGGAAAACTCAAAATCAGTGCATATTTCGAGACGGCACGTAAAACGAAATGCATGGGAATTTGCAGTGCCAAGTTATCATACCAAAAAAATCAACTTGCTTGCAAATGAAAACATGAGATTCATGGGAGCAATACAACTTTCAAACAAATATTCCTCCTATACACAACAATTGAAGCTAATACGCCTTCATGGTACTGGCCTCAACTCTCTCTCTCTCTCTCTCTCTCTCTCTCTCTCTCTCTCTCTCTCACACACACACACACACACACATATATAACATGCAAACACGCTGTGAACATATACTTTGGAATGCGCAAATGTATTATGTAAACATACCATCCAGCATGCAAAAATGCACTGTGTCGTAGTAACATGTTATACTGACATGCAAATGCATTATACGCTACGCAGATGCATTAAACCACCACACAAATGCATTATGCAAATATACAAGCAACACATAAATGCATTATATATATACAAGCTATGCAAAACACAAATGCGTTATGTAAACATATTGCAACATGCAAATAGATCATATGCGTGGGCTAAGCAACATGTGGATGCCTCACATAAATAGTGCAAATACCTTTGTCACTCGTGCAAGTGCATTATGCCAATCAGTAAATGCATTATGACAGTTATGCAAATGCATGACACTATTCATGCAAATATGACAATCACATAAACACATCATGTCAATCCAGCTAATGTATCGTATCAATCACATAAATGTGACATGTCAATCATACAAATGCTTTATGATATAAGTATGATATATCTCATGTACATCATATCAAATGCATTAGTCATCTTGCAAATATATCCTACAAAATGCATAGAAAAATATATGCAATATTGAAGGAAACGAAGTAGCCGCATGGTCCCCAACGAGCATAATATATGTACACACGTGACAACTGAGGATGCTATGCGGGTCAAAAGTGAACTTAAGTTCAAGTTTGATCCTCCTCTTTGAATGGACTGTAGTTGACACGACTTGAACCACCAAACAAATACACAATCATAGCACCGACAGGAATATTTGGTTTTATCGTTCCTATTAGGCCTTCAAAGTCTAATACAAAAAAAGTTTGTTGTCAAAAGCATAAACTCTCAGAACCGACACTCGTTGAAGTTAACTGAAGTATATAATTTTATACGTTCATAGTAGACCTAAATCTCTTACCAAAAAAATCATATATTAAAATGAACACCTCATGTTATGATATCTACACGATAACTCTAAAATTTAGGAGTAGAACTTGATACTCGATTTGCAATCAAACAAAGTTGACAAGGAGTTGATCTCAACCTGAGGGATCTCTAACTTTTAAAATACTCTCAAATATCAAGATTAACCATTAAGGAGTTTTGATTTCAATAAAAAAAAAATCCAAAATACAAGAATAACCAAAAATCTGAATTTTGAAATGAAATTTAATCACCTAAACTTAAAGCAAAAATCCATCCACCTAGCGCAATAGTTGTCGAGGTAGATAAATATGGAAATCATTTTAGCTCAAAACGAGCGAATGTCCAATCGAGAATATTACCAGGATTTATTCTTAAATAATCTTTTTTCCAGTAAGGACGTGACATGTATCCTCTAACCGATGATTTCGCCGTCAAATGACAACACAGGTAAACGGTTATGATCGCGGCCCTCTAATTGAGTGATTTTTCCATCAAATGATACCACTAAATTATGGTCATGGCTAGAGCCCGTATGTTCTCTAATATCTCTAAATCCTTGAGAAATGAGTCAACAGGGTATAATCAATAGGGCATAGAACTCTTTATTAGCTAAGGTGGGCTCAAATATATTCTTTTAGGCAAACACTCACCCTAAGCCTACAAGGTGCCCTTATGCAAAGCAAGACATGATTGCCGACAAGGATTTTTCGGTTAGGTTAGGCCGACTATCTCCTCTAACTAAGTAGATTAAGGACCATGATGACCCGAGATGACGGAACCATGAGATCTTGATCGGGTTCATCATCATTCCCCCCACCATCCGCTTCAAGTGGGCGGTGATAAATTTCAATTTTCAATGTCTAAAATTATTGCTACTATATATTGGGTACTAAGTGCATATTCTAATGACTAGCCTTAATCGAAAGTTATCTAATCTACTTCACAATCACTGCAAAAAATTAAGCAAAGCAAGGTTGGAGCTTCAAAAATCAAAAGGTAATCTACGTATAATTGATTACTTTATTATATTATTAATTTCTTATTTTACTTTAAATTATATCAAATCCAATGATAACTGATATTAGAAGTAAGAGAAAAAAAATGATGTAATAGAAGAAGATCCTGAAGATGACTAAGATAGAATACAAGGAACGATAGATTTACTACATATGAGATCTTGTATGAAGAATATAAGAGTGAGGATGAAACTACCATGGATCCTAATCCTCAAGATATATTTTAAGTTTTAAGTAAATGTTTATCATGAATCTCATTTCAATTTTTCGTTCAATAATAATATTTAATATTACGATTTGTGGTTTATGTCATTATATGATGATGAATGAAGTAAATATGTTGATAATTTATTTCATTTTTGTCATTTTTATAAATTATTTGCAATTTTATGGGTTTTTTATTTTAATGCTTTGAGGCTTGTGTCTCGATCCACCTCAAGACTGACACCTTGTCTCACAATTCAAAATGACTTGATTCTCGATTTTTCTTATTTAAACCTTGTTCTTTTCTATACTCGTTCAACTATCTCTCTTTCTCTATCATTTGCTTGACAAATCAACCAAAACAAACTCTAAAGAAAAGTAACAAAGAAACAAATAACATATTTGACACCATCGACCAAGGCCTATATTATGGCAAACATCATTGTCAATCAACATCATACCCATCATCAATCATTTAAAAAAAACAATAAATTGATATTCAACTATCTCGCAATTTCAGTGACTTTCAATAATCTTTCCGATCACTTCCTAGAGTAGATAAAAAACTTTGCTCTAATGAACACCTCCAGCTGCCTTCTCTTCCATTCACCAGATCTCTCTATCCCCTGCTTGATCTCCTACAAAGTTGAAGCCTTCCCAACCTTTTATAGTGATGCTCGACACTTTAGGCTTCACATACCACCTGCTCACCACCGAGCATCAAGGACTTCCTGTCCCATGATCAAGCCTGCCACTACCCACAGCTAGAAAATCAAGAGAGATTCTAGTCTTCGCTGTGTTTCTATCACATATCACTTATACTCCTTTGATAAGTTGAATATAGGCGGTGGTATCTTTGTTTTAGGAAGCAAATGTGCGTATATTATGGTGACTGAACAAAGCAAAAAAACTATCCCAATATCTGATAGAACATGCTGTAATTTAATCAAGAATTTGAGAGATCTGATTTAAAGAAATCAATGTTCCACACACCTAAAACCTCAAGCTATGAGAAGCTTCCATATCGCTATTCAGATAACCCGCTGGAAATAGAACGGTAACAACTGCTCCTGAATAAAATATCTTTAAAAATGCACAAAAAGTGATGCTCGGTTAATTTTATCACCACCACCTATGCACCAAATTAGATGAGCCATTTTACACAATAACGCTTGTTCAATCCAGTGCCAATGACAAGATGCCCGATGATGTCATTCAATGGTTATCCACAGGCAAAACGTGAAATTGCAGCTAAAAAAGAGCCAATATTATGATTTAGTAGAAGTATGAATGCAAAAAATAATGGACTAATTCAAAAGAATAACTTACAGATGCTGCACCAAAGCTAGCCCCTGAACCAGTGGTAGAACCTACAAATGAAATAGAAAGCTTTCAAAGGAGCCAAAGATAAAAAATCAAACATTTGATGAAATTTTATTTATTTATTTATTTAATGGTGTTTTTATTAGAAGGATAAAAATCTATCTAAAAATACAAGTTTAATAAAAATGTTAAAAAAAAGGAGACATCTCGCTTAAGAATTTTTCCACAAAGAACAACAAATGGAAACAGAAAATTGCTCTACTATTTTTCTCTTACAAGAAAATAAAAAGACCGAATTCTTGTTTGCAACACTCCTAGAGTTTAGGTTACTTCACCAGGAAAAAAGAAAAACATTCTACAATAAATGGAAAATAGCCGAGTCTACATATCCATCTAAAAATTCAGGGTAGTTCAATCAAACATATTTTATCATTTCCTGTCTCCGAAATCTTGGAAAGGCTTAGCATCCATCAGACAAAAAATGCAAATTCTTTGCTGGTAGGTTACTATTATAAACCCAGCATTAAATCAAGCTAGCCAGCGCATTTTACACCTCTAGTTATGATTCCTAAACTAGCTATTCTATTGCTAGAAAAGTAATCAAATTTCAGTCATACCTAGTGTAAGTGAAGGTGTTGCAAATAGTGAGGAGCTTCCAATTGCTGGACTAGAAGTCAAGGTTGACGTACTGGCTCCAAACAGAGAGGGAATCTGACTAGACCCAAAAAGAGATGTTGATGGAGTCCCAAAACTCGTTGATTGCTGTGAAAACCCAGTTGAACCAAGAAGGCTAGTAGAACCGATAGCAGATGCAGATGGGGTTAAGAGATATGATGACGTTGGAACAACAAGAGAAGAAACTGGAGAACCAAATAGTGAAAATCCACCACCGGAAGAACCTGAGCTCACTACAGTTTGCTGAGGAGCACTTGACGCAGGAATCACTGGACTAGCATGCAAACCGGTACTATGAGTTGATGGCTGAGAAGAAACTGCAGGCAAATGCAAAGTTGGATGAACTCTTTTAGCAGCAGCTTCCCGTTTAGCAGTTTCTCGTCTGTCAGCTTCGAGAAATGGGTCATTGCCATGACCATGATGCCGGTGTTCAGCAAGATAAACTGTCTTCATAGACTCAACGTATTGATGGAGGCTCTCCACCTATGAAGAAACATGGTATTGAAGTCATCAGATATTCTTAAAAAAAAAAAGATCCAACACTTATAATTTCATGTGGATAGTATCATAAGTGAAATAATTACAAAGCTAATCAACATTTTAATGGAAACAAAAATCCATGAGGTGGATAGGTTATTTTTTTCTTAATGGAAAGATGGGGAAACCCTTCTCGTTAAAAATAGAAAAGAAATAAGACAACTATAGAGTTACAGAATTGATAAGAATATAAGGAATGCAACAACACTGAAAACATACAGTAAAACTAAACTTCTAAAAGTTCTACACGCTTTGCCTGAAATATTATAATATTTTCTCAACAACACCAACACCAACATCAAGTCCTTATCCCACTATGTGGGGTCGACTACATGAATCCTTTTTCTCTATTATATCATGTTAAAAGTTAAATTCTCATTTAAATCTAATAAAGAAAGGTCATTTCTAATATTTTCTAACCAACTCTTTTTAAGTCTACCTCTACCCTTATTAACATAAGTCAAATCTAATACATCTACTTTCCTAACCAGGTCATCGAAAGACTGTTGTTTTATGTGACCAAACCATCTAAGGCGACTCTCTCTAATCTTATATTCCACTGGAGCTACTCCAACCTTTTCACGTATATGCTCATTTCGTATCTTGTCCCTAAGAGTAAAGCCACTCATCCACCTAAGCTTCCTCATCTCTGCAATACTAAACTTAATATTATGCTTCTCTTTTAATGGCCAACATTCTGCACCATAAAGCATTGCAGGTCTAACTACCACTTATAGAATTTTCCCTTAAGTTTGAGAGGGACTTTTCTATCACACAACAAGCCTGATGCATTCCTCCGCTTCAACCACCCAACTTTAATTATACTAATAATATCTACATGTATTTCACTATCACTCTAAACAATAGACCCAAGATATCTAAAACATATACTCTTATTGATGGCTTGATCACCCAAAGTTACAATTACATTCCATATATTCAGTTTTAGATCTACTCAAACGAAAGCCTTTAGACTCTAAGGTTGACCTCCATAATTCAAGTTTACCTTCAACTCCCTCTCTAGTCTTTCAACAAGAAGAATATCACCAGCAAAAAAGCATACACCAGGGTACAACCTCTTGCAAATGTCTAATGAGAACATTTATCACTGAAGCAAAAAAGATATGAGCTTAAAGTTGATCCTTGATGTAATCCAACTGAAATAGGAAAACACTTGGTCAAACCACCTTGTGTCTGGACACAAGTAACAGCTCCTGCATGCATATCCTTAATGACTTGAATATAAGCAATATTAAACCATTTCTTTTCTAGAACTCTCCATAGCACTTCTCTTCGAACTTTATCATATGCTTTCTCTAAACCAATAAATATCATATGTAGATCCTCCTTATTCTCTCTATACTTCTCCATCAAACCTCTCAATAAAAGCATAGTTTCCAATGTAGAGTTGTAGACTTACCCGGCGGCATGAATCCAAACTGATTTTGAGAAACTTTAATATCACGCCGCAACCTATGCTCCATAACTCTCTCCCATAATTTAAAAGTATGACAATTAACTTAATTCCTCAACAATTCGCATAATCTTCAGCATCACCTTTATTCTTAAAAATATGAATCAACACACTCATTCTCTACTCATCTGGCATCTTTTTAGTCATCAAAATAATATTAAAATGTTTAGTAAGACAAAAAATTCCTTCTCCTGAGCATTTACACACCTCTATTGGGATATCATCAGGTTCAACAACATTTTCACACTTAATTTTATTTAAAGCCTCTCTAACTTTGATTTTACTAATACGCCGATAAATATAAAAATCTTTATTTTCATTTAGGTTGCTAAGGTCACTAAATTCAATCGCATTATCATAATCTTCATTGAGGAGTTTATAAAAATATCTCATCCACCTTTGTTGAATATCTTCTTATAGTAAAAGCACTATTTGAACTTCATCCTCAATACACTTCACTTGAACTAAATCCTTACTACTCTTATCTCTTTATTTGGCTAAATTATACAAATATCTTTCGCCCTCCTTAGTATCTAATCTATTATAAAAAACATTAAAAGCTAAAATATTTGCATCGCATATTGATTTCTTAGACTCTTTACGGACCTCTTTATATCTTTCTCAATCATCAGAATTTTTACAATTAAACTAATTTTTATAACAAATCTTCTTATGTTTTATCTTTTCTTGAACATTTTAATTATATCATCAACTATTTTTACTATTAGGAGCTTTTTCCTATGATAATCTAAGCACATCTTTTGCAACATTCTTAATATCACTAGCTACTTTTTCCCATATAACATTAGCTTTCTCATACATACAAAAAAAATCTTAAGATACAGTATCTTACTCTCAAAATTTTTTTTTAAAATATTTTTAAATGCCCCCATATAATCCTAGAATAACGTTTTACTTTATTTGTTATTTTATATCTCTTATCTTAAAATCCAAAACTAATAAGTGATGTTAGGTACATAAATTTTCACTTGAAATAACTTTACAATCTTTGTAATCTAAACGATCTATTTTTCCCATCAGAAAAAATAATCAATCTGAGTTTTATTATATCCATTCTTATAAGTGATAAGATGATCTCTTTTCTTAAAAAAGTATTAAGAATTACAAAATTATAAGCTAACGAAAAATCTAATATGGCCTTACCACCTTCATTAGTCGCTCCAAACTCATATCCCCCATAAATGCTTTTAAAATCATCGATCTCTCTACCAACATGTCCATTGAAATCTCCTCCAATAAAAATGATAAGATGCTCATCTCTTTTCTTAAAAAAGTATTAACAATTACAAAATTATAAGCTAAAGAAAAATCTAATATGGTCTTACCACCTTCATTAGTCGCTCCAAACTCATATCCACCATAAATGCTTTTAAAATCCTCCAATAAAAAATTTTCTTCAAGAGGTGTCTTTTATATTAATTCTTCTAAGTCATTCCAAAATTTTAATTTTAAACTCATATTCAAACCTACTTGAGGAGCATAAATACTTATAATATTAATAATCTTAGCATCAACAATAATTTTTAAAGCTATAATTTTACCTCCAATTCTATTAGTTTTTATAACATTATCTTTTAAACTCTTAATTATAATCACACATATATCATTTCTAGTACGGCTCTTACCAAAATACCAAAATTTAAATCCTAAACTATCAATCTCCTTAGCCTTCTCTCTAACATATTATTTTTCTGAATGCATAGAATATTTATTTTCCTATGAATCATAATATTTATTAATTTCATTAATTACCTATAAGGATACCTATATTCCAAGATCCTATCCTAATTTTAGTTTCATGGATTAATTTCTTTGCCCACATCCGCCCATGATGTGTACTTATAAAATTTGTTGTACTTATATCAATTACTATAATCCATCCAAAAATAAGCTTGGGATAATTCGTTGAACTAGATTAATTTATCATCCATGTAAAAACTTGAAAAGCATTTGCTATTCCTTTATTTACATATGTTTCAAAGAACTGAATAAGAAAAATATCTCAGATGTCTTTGCCTTGGATATAATAATCTCTCCAGGAAGAAAATGACGAGTCAAGGAGAAAGATGTAATTAAAAACTCCAAAGATAGAAAAGAAATACCATCAAGTGTTAGAGAAGAAGCTAAAATTGAAAAATAGATGAGTATTATCCTCCAAAAGACAATCGCACATTGCTTGAGATCTTTCTCAGAAAACGGTCCATCCAAAAAAGGATATTTTCAAAGGAACAAAGGCCTCCGAGATCCATTTATAAGATGTAAGAATGCCTCCATGAATAAGAAATGAATAAAATGATTTAACTGAATAAAGATCATAAGAAGAGAGTATCCACTTCAGAGTACCACAATTTGGGTTCAACTTTATCCGAGTAAAAGCCCAAACTAGTCCCCCGACTATTAGTAAATGTCTAATTTAATTTCAGACTTTCATAATGCCCTAATTTAGTCCCTGACTACTAAAAAATGTCTCAATTTGGTCTCAAGACCAAAAGTAACAATTAAAGTTAACCCCAACAATTAAATGTGAGGGTATTTTAGGGGTGTCAATATTGGACCCGACCCGAATACCCGACCCGAACACGACCCGAAAATTTTGGGTTTAGCTTGACCCGAACCCGAAGCGGGTCGGCGGTTCGGGTCTGGAAAACCGACCCATTTGCAAATCGGGTCGGTTCTGTTGCCCGAAAACCCGGGATCGACCAAGAAATTGACCCGAAAAACCCACTGCTGTGTTGGGCCTGCCTCGCTTGCCGCATGCCCGCCTACCCGACTTGCCCGGCTGCCAGCCTGCCACGGTCTCCGCTGCCCGCGTGCATCCGAGCTCGCTGCGCCCATCCTCGCCATGCCACTCGTCTTGTAGCCTCGTCTGTCGGCTCGATCCGTTCCGTTTTTCTTTTTTCCCCATCGGGGCCGGCAACGCGCCAAAACCGCGTGCATCGAGCCGGCCATGCCATCACATTCGCGTCGCATCGCTTCATCTGCCGCGCCATCTTGCCATAGCGTCGCCGCATAGCATCGTGCCCCAGCAGCTCTACTGCCCGCTGCCGAACGTCGCTGCCGCACTACAGCTGCAGAGCCTCGCTGCTTGCTGTCGCTGTCGACGTCGGTTGTCACTACCGAAGGCGGTCGGGTTGACCCAAACCCGAAGCGGGTCAGGTTCAGGTCCGGAAAACCGACCCGTATGCAAAAACGGGTAGGGTTAGGGTTGACCCGAATAGTGCCGGGTCAGTTTCGGGTTCAACTCGAACCCGACCCGTAACCCGAAATTGTAGACACCCCTAGGGTATTTTGAGTATTGGAGTTTATGTGAGATTATATTATTATTTTTATTTATTTTAGTATTTATCATATTAAAATAAACAAAAAATTTATAATGAAAGTAAATTACGTTTAATAATTATTCACTTTTGTTATTTAATTAGTTAACTTTTATTATGATTTTTATATTTAT